AGCGAGCGCCTCTGAGGGGCCTCCAAACCGCTCTCCTCTCTGCAATGTGCGTTAATATGAGATCCGAAGTTTATTGTATCTGACTTCTTCGCGAACTTTCAGTCAAAATTACGTACAATAATACGAGAAATCAGATAAAAATTAAAAATGCACGATGAAAATACCAGCTGACAATGAAAAAGTTATTCATCTCCATCTAAGATTTGTTGGGAAGAAGCTTTAGCTTAGATTTGTTGGGAAGCACTGGTAAAATTAACTTTTGTGTCGAGTGAAATAGACGAACACGAGGGGCTGGTATGCATTGTTAGCTGACGAAATTAAGCAGCGCCAATGCACCAAAAGGGTTTATACTCGTCATATGTATACAAACACACATACATATACACACGCATTCACTCACACAGAGGGATAAGTTGCGGGAGAGAAGCGTGGATGACGCCTTTAGAGAGGAGATAAGCGAAGAAAGATGGTATGTACCGCAATGACCTGAAAAGAAGAAAGATAATACGATAACTATGGCGAGATGCGCTAGAGGATTGAGAGTAAGAATAGTCGATCGAAGAGATGACAAGACAGAGAGACACTGAATCAGGGTGAGAGAGAAAGAGAGAGAGAGAGAGAGAAACAGAGAGAGTACAATAAGAAAGAAATGCAATGAGATAGAAGAAGGTGAAAGAGGCCAGAGGAGAGGGCGGCCGCGTATAAAAAAGGAAGAGCAAAGAGGGAAATGGTGAGAGATAACAAGGAAGGTAGACAGAGAGAAGGAGAGGAGCGAATCCTCGATCGCTAAAGAGACGTACGTTCCCACACGAGCCCCCCAAGATGCGTCCCGGCGTCACTTGCCGACCAGCGAGTGAGCGAGAGAGAGAGAGAGAGAGAGAGAGAGAGAGAGATGCCCAGAAGCTGATAAAAACAACTACAAAACTGCCTACCGGTGTTTTCTGCCTTTTGCTCCTGCGTTACTCTCTTGGCTACCGTAAGGCGCGCGCACACGTAGCAGTAGTGTGGCAGCGCCACCCCTTGCGTTCATTTGGCTCTTTTTCATTAGCCGTTGCGACCTTTTCTCCGCGCCATCCTTCCTGCTTCGGATACGTACTGAGGACCTCCGCCTCGTCTGCTTCGATTGGCCCCGGCTGCAGTGTACTGCACAAAGAGGAAAAAAAAAAGAGGAAAAAGAAAAGAAAAATAAGGCGATTAAGAAAGCGACAGATTACGGTGCACCCAAATTTTCCGGATAAATTGATTTGATGTGATACACCGAAATTCACTGTAACATTGAAAAAGTCAACTGAATTTTTGTGAAAGAACGTCAGTAAGAGAAAAGTGGGTAAGCTAAACGCTCTTCTCTATTCCAATTATTGAATTCAAATAACACTGAAAATAACACAGAAAAGTCGATTGAAAAACCGGAAGCCTTTCGAACCAATGAACTCATTTGATCTAGTCAGCTCATAATTCTATAATTTCAGTCAATGGCATTCATTTTTATTTGAAAAGGGATTCGCATGAAGCAAAAATTAAAAATTATATCGGAGCTGTTTCTTGAATTGGAGAAATTCTTATAAGTGTACATTAATTGTCCAGGGTTAATTTTGGTCGGAGTATTCGCATGTTGAAAAAAAAAAGCGAGCTAAGCACACAAAACGAAATATCGTGAACTTGGAGTTAACGAGTCTGAATATTTGACTACGGTGACCATTCGGAATCAGGCAACGATCGGGCATTATCGAACGATTGTTTTCTTTTCGTCCGCCGTCTAAGCACATTGGATAGGATGCATGCGAACTTATTGGCCGCGTGTGCCTATGCTGCTCGCTGGCGGGGTAATTGCGCTGGCGCGCGCCTCGCGGGTAGTATCGACGCGCCGGCGCGCGTAATTTCTGCATTGTTGCAATTGCGACATCGGCCGCATGCAGGCGTGGGAATGCCGCTGCGAGCGGAGGAGGTTGCTTATATGTGGCAAGCGCGATCTAAACCGGGCTCGAGCCTCTCCACCCCCCGGGCTTACACTTTCAATCGCAGGAGGATCAGAGGAAGCTCATTTCAGCGCGAGATTTTCGAAATCGCTAAGACATTTTCTTGATCGGCAGTGATGCTCTTTACAGCGCATTCCATTTTAATGCAAATCTTCCTTTGTATATACCAATGTGATTTCGACAGCCGATGACTAGTCGACTGTTTATTTTGTCTAAGAAAATTGCAGCAAATTATTTTTACGCGAGTGCGTTATGCAATGTTCTTTGCTGACGTCTAAAAATCTTCAGCTCTATGGTGCAGAGATCATTATTGAAGTCTGTACTTTCGATTGACGTTGCTATTGCTTGCTCTATCATATTTTCTATCTATCACTTTTAATGGCATTCTGTCATTAAAAGTGAATGAATTTCCGAATTGATGAAAGAAACGTTATCCATCTGTTTTTAATGCTCGAACTCGTAAATAAGGCTTAATCATTCTCGACAATACTTTGTGGCTATCCAGTACTTCTTGAAAATAAATTTTTAAATTGATTTATTTATCGTACTCAGGTCGAAAGAATTTTTGAGCTACGAACCTGGAAAGCAAGAGCTGGAAAGGGTGAAATACAATAGAAGGAAGGTAGAAAGGAACTGACAGATACAAGGTTGCCTTGTGAAGGTCTTTCGGTATCATTTCTTCTATCGGTAACAAAGGCTCTGGCCACATGATAGATCATTTAAAAAGTAAAATGGCAATTGTTGCACGTGGCTGTAGAATGATACTTAACTGTGGTACATTTTTAAGTGGGTATTAAGTTTACTGGCTTCAAATTGCAGTATAAACACTGCAATTTGAACTCATTGGATCAAGTAAAAATTCGAACGGCAAGTGAAAAAATCACGGTAAATAAGTTTTTCATGTGTCAATCGAAAATAGATATAAATTTCGTGTACTGAAGATTGTGCAAATACAATAGCACAAATGCAAGATCAACAATAAGCTCGAACTTGTCAGCAAGAGTGTGGGTGTTCCTCGGTCGCAGCGGTCAGACGAGAGTTGCGCGCGAATACTGGCGGTGGCACAGCTACGTTAATTTATTCAAATTACCTGCGCGGCTGGGGTGGCGCGCATTGTCGAATGCTCTTCTCCTCGGCGCGTTATTTATCGCCGTTCGCGCGTTATAGGTGAGCATGTGTGCGTTAGGCACGCAAAGAAGCTCGAACCGCGACGACGAACGTCAAGGAAAAAAAAGTGGCGAGTAGTTGGTGGCGTTTCATCGCTGTCGTTTTCTTTCTTTCGTGGTCGTTAGTATAAGTCCGAGAGAAAGAGTGTAGTGTACGCGCGCTCACCGCGCAGTAGTTTGGCACGTTGAGTGCAATTAAGACCCCGTCCCGATGTTCGACGGGCCTATGAATTTTTCCTCTGCTGCTCAACTGCGGTCGTAATTTTTAATATCCTTTTTTCCTTAGAAAATGTCGTTTGTCTTTTGGAAATAGACTGACCTTCGAGTATCATGAATTCGCAACAACGGTGAACGTTAACATAATTTTTAAACAATGCCTGCACCTCATGACGGTATGTTCCTAATGGAGGTGTAATTAACTTCAGAATATAAATAAACTATAAATCAATTGTGATACAAGATCACATCTCCCGTCGAATTAATGGCACAAGTGGACCTTACTTTCGTTGGACAAACCATTTTTTCTCAGCCTTGACTTTTGCCGCAGATAAAAATAGTTGGGATGTGTGCAAGCTGAGAAGAGTAAATATAATTTGTCACATTCATACTTACTTTTTTTCTCAGGATAAGAGCCATAAGTAACAAGTTTCACTGGATGCGTCACATTCAAGCTAATTATAGATTTTGTCCATACGTCACCAAGATGCTTTAGATAATATCTAAAGCATTTTTTGAAAATAAATTTATACTTTAATTATAGATTCGAATTCGACTTTGGATACGAAAATTTTTCTTTAAAATTAATAATTATACGTTAGAATAAAATTACACAGACAATTAAGAAATAAACTCGGCTATTCATAAATCCACTTTTATTGTACAAAACATATCACGCTACAAATAGGTTACAAATAAACATACACAGACAAAGCTGTACAAAAAAAGTTAAACAATTCTCCTCAATCATCAATCAATAGATAACCGACATAAATAAAGCTTCGTCTATGACGCGACAATCACGTATTTTGATCTCAGAAACTGCACCCAATTATATGCTGCAGTAATGCTTGCAGAGTTCACCAGCTCGTAAAGTTACGTCAAGGTAACGCATCCTACCAGTATTTGGGTGCTGTATATATTTTTTATTGTTTTTTACATTAATTACAGCGAACGTTACAAATGTTTCACGAATACTCCCACGAGTGTTCTACACTTTTGCGTCACATAAATAAATGTAAACAGTTTAATTCATGAAGGTCAAAGGTGCACGAAAAAATTTTCCAACTAATTTTAACATAGTAAATAAATAATTATGCAATAATCAAACCTACTCCATAATTAATTTTGAAGAAAAACACTGAAGGGCTTACCCTAGAAACGTTTGCAAAGCGTTTTCCATCATTATCATTATCTTCGATGATGCATTGACGTCATCACCAATACATCATCATTTCATACTTTTCATTTTCTTACAACGAACATCATGGCAATGATCTATTCTCTGTCAAAAAAAAAAAGATTGATACGCGAATCAATAATACGATTACAAATGTTAACAACTATAAAAATTATTATGTAATAAATTGTTGTAAAATACATTTAAATAACAAATCCTTACAATTAATTCATTTAAAAATAATTTTCGCGACAACAAAAATTGCCGAGATTGTCGAATAAAGTACAAATCAATATTATAAAATATTATTTTTTCGGAATACGATTCCAAACATAATTATGTTTTTGATGCTGAAGTAGATTACTCAATATTTTATCTCTTTCTATGTATCAGTGTCTCTGAAACGTTAAGAGCAATCAAAAATAAAATGGCGCTCGCAGATATTCCTAATTAATTATCGGCTCAACCCCATCTTGTTCCATTTCTGATAAAAGACTGAAATTGTTGTGCTGCTCCCTGAAATCAATCCAAATTAATAAATAATAAAAATAATTTTCAATTCATGTTGATGTTTTACGTTTGTTAGACAATATTCTGGTTTTAATTTTCATTTCCACGAGACTTAGGGTTCAACATGCGACATAATGTTTGCTTATTTCAGATTACAGAAAATAAGATTAAAAATTTTAAATAACAATTTTAAGCTTGTTCTATTAACGATGCAGTAATGAAGATAATACATGTTGATTTGTAAAAATAATATTTATATGTTTGGTGTTTTATGCGTGCGAATAAAGCTGAAAATGTGCAGTTTTTATGCTACTGATACTAAGTGAAAAAAGCTTCTCTTTGCAAGACAATAATAGAGAAAGGATGCGCACGATACTGTAACGAGTCGTGTATATTTCAATAAGATTAATTAGAATAGACGGACTATAGTATCATTATAGTTTAGTCTCTGCTAGAAATAGCATAGTTGAAAAAAGAATAACAAAGTAAAGATTATTAAAAAATAATCAAGTAAGTACCTATAAATATTATAAATTCCATTTAAATTTAATTTTAAAGAAAAACAATTTCTTTCGGTTTGTAATTTGAAAAACAAAAAATTTTACAACAAGTCAGCGTTGCAACAAAGCATTCTCATTTTTTAAAGCAAAGGATGTGCAATAATTTAACTTTATTACACATTTCGTGACGATGGCTGTACATTAATAAAGTATCAAAGTAAAAAAAAAAGAGAAATTTATGTAAAAAAATTTGAAAAAAACAGACAAATTGTAACAGCAACTAACCGTGATGGCAGCACCGAGGAACTGACCAAACGCTCGGGTCATGCCGATCGCGGCGTCGACTACTTGGCTGCGAACGTTCCCTTCGGCTGCGCCGTTTGTGTTCGTGGTAGCACCTACGCCGCCGCTGAGCACGCCAAAGTTACTGAACAGCGGCGGGGGATATGCAGAGGGAAAGCTCGATATCGAAGCTGGGGGTCTTCGTGGTACCGTCCTTCTTGTCGTCGTTTTCGTTATAGTCGGTCGTCTTGTCGTCGTAGAAGTAGTCTTACTCTACGAGGGCAGTATAAACAATATTTGTTGATTCTTTCAACTTATATAACTCAATTTTTTTGTATTAATCTACGATATTAATTATATCTTTCTGTTCTCATTATTAATACTTTTTAGTACTTTATCAGTATAGTCTAATTATTTATATTAGTTTTATTCAAACTCAATGATTTAAGATTTTTGGAACAAGATTAATCTTATATTATAACTATGTGCAGTCGAGTATAATTTTCTAGGAATATTAATTGGTTGATTTACTTTTTATCATTTAGATGACAAAACATCCTGCCGTTCGCGTTTATATTTAAAAAATATTAATGATTCCCGTTGAAAAATTAATTGATAGATTCATTGTTAAAGTATTTGAAAGAGCATTAGTATGTATCAGCAGGATTATTTTCCCCGACCATAGTCCTTTGCAATATAGAGACACATTATTAATACAAAAATAAAAATTAGTGAGATAGGAAAATATTATTATCGAAAATTGATAAAGATCTATCTAAAAAGTAAAAAGCTTATGGAAAAATTATCGAATAGAATGAAGCTATCGAGAAGATCCAGAACTCACAGCCTGTTGAAGCTGTTGTCTAAGCGAATTCGGTGGAGTAGAGGGTTCGATTCCTTGTGACTTGAGGAATGCGGCGAGTAGAGCCGCATCATTCTGATCGTTACCACCTGCCGTCGATAATGGCTGAATCTTGGCTTGGTCCGTTAGTATAGCTCTGAGAAAAGCCTCGTCGTCTGCGTCAAGGGCTGTTTTTGGCGTACTCGTCGCCAACTTTACAGGCTTGTCTGGAAATTTATTCTACTCGATAAATTGATACATCGTAAATACACATGTAGGCATTTCTTAATTTATAATTTTGTTACTAATTTACAGCACTTTATTTAATTTATGATTTTATTTGTGAAATATTGAGCTGTAGATAACGTAATTCCCAACAAGACATTATAATCAAGGGTATGATAAAACTCAAAGTACCATTTGTATTACGAGCAAGTTCTAGCAACGCCGCCAAGAATTTGGCATCTTCCTCTGGTGAGAAAGTGGACGTGGTGACCTTAGAAGATTTCGGTGTCACCTCGATTGGTTTTTCAGTGTTAGCGATTGTATTCGTTACAACAACGGACTGACCACCGGTTATATCAACAGTGTTACCGCCTGCCTCAATAGATCTAGGTGTGTGACTTGACTCTGCCAACACTATATGCGGCGCACGAGTAGTAGTAGTGGTGGTCGTTGTCCTAGTTGTTGATGTGGTACTAGTTACTGGTGTTGTTGCAGTTGCTTTCGTAGGCGGAGGAACTTTCCTTGCAGTAGGAACAGGCTTTCTGACTACTGGCCTAGAGGTTACTGGTTGAGCGAATGGATTGCGACCGAAAATTGTTTGTAACAAATTAGCTGCAAACGCTAAATAGAATTACAAAAATGCATTAATTAATCGGTTGATGTTTATGAATTCGCGAAATATACCAACCGAAAGGTCCAATAGGTGGAGCTTGCGTTGTAGGTCTTGGTCGTCTAGGAGTAACCGATTTGGCAGTTATAATAACTGGTGCTTTCGTGGTCGGATGCCTCGTAGTCCTCGGCGTCGTTGACGTCGTAGTCGTACGAGGAGTTGTCGACGTCGTAGTCGTACTTGGCGCCGTTGTACTAGTTGTCGTAGTCGTTGCTATAGTATATGTGGGTACTGTAGCGGCATCTTTGACAGCTTGCACAGCTCTCCGCGTAGTAGAAGTTGCTGGAGTGGTGCTCGGAATTTTCGTGGTCGTTGATGGTTGCAAATCAATAATTATTGGTTGGGATGACGATCCAGTAAAAGATGGAGTCGTACTCGCAAATTTGAAAGCTTTGTCGCCTGATACAGTGTTTGGCGACGCATTTGATGCTTGAATTGCTTTTGGGGAACGCATTGGGCCGCCGTCGGGTAGGCCTTTGCCTAACGCTAGTGACAAGATCTAGAAAACGGAATAAGAACTCACTAGAGTGTCGTTTGTAAATGATTTTATTTATTGATGGATTACGAAGTTTCAAATTAGCTGTTAAGACATTTATATTCTTATAAAATTCCCGTATATTGTTTAAAACCATCGACTGTTCGAGGTATCTTGCATTCTTCGTGAAAAATGCGCCCCAGAAAATGTAAGCGGTGATTTGAATCGGCGCAAGAACAAGAAAAGCAAGAAGAAAAGCAGCAGGCGACGTTGAATGCGCGTAAGGCAAAACGCTAATAAGTGTCAGTTGGCAGCGGCGATTCGAGCAACGCAGAGCGCAAGCGCGAATGCCAGAAGAAGAGTCGCGCATGGCTCTTCTTCTCTTCCTCTTCCTCTGGACTCGCGCACGGGCTGCAAGCATTCTCGGTGCGGAGCAAGCAAAGTGCGCGTGTACTTTATAATTGGCCACGCCGCGGCGAAAGCGTGTCATCGGCGGAATCGGCAGCGCGAAAAAGGAATATACGTCGTCCCCTCTCTCCGCCGCTTCCCACTGCATACTCACAAGATACGCGCATACCTACGCGTCGCCTATGGGATGTGCCTTCGGCTTTAAACCTAAGCTTCGTAAGCGCGCAAAAATGCAAATGATACAAACTGCTGATTTTCTGGTATTTTTCATGCCTTCTTCCTATAATGTTTTATTCTTCTAATTAAGAGAACATTTTGGCTATTTACCATCGGCAATGTAAATCGACCTATCTTCCATATCTTTAGCAATAATTTGAAATCACAGTCAAATTTTGTTTAAACGTAAGGTGACTTTGTATGTCATAATACCTTCCAATACATCGAATATTATATATCGTTTGTATGAGAAACTACGAACGTTAGCGGTTAGCGTGGCCGTAGAGTATCAATCGCGTGCCCGGTAGTAATTGCCACGATAGTCACAATAGGAGGTTGCAATGATGAAAGAATAACAGCTCGGAGGCGCGCGCCTCCGGCACACGAGACGGCCTTATCTCTTTGAAGGCGCATCATCGATGATGTTCCTTCTCTATCTATCGATGTCGAGGGAGTAATCGTGACTATTCATGAGAAAGGCCGCTAGCGCGTTTACGTGTGCTTGTGAATTTGCATGAACGCGAAATAGCGAAATAAAAAAGAAGGAAGATGGTGTTATGAATGATAGTATCGGATAAATAATAGCGCTTGAGTATTGAGAAATCGCAAGATGCGAGAACGTTCGTCATGTACAACACGGTAAGCCTTATGTAGTCGTGCTTCATAATTAGAATTCGTCATGCATTCTGTGCAAATTCTAAATAGCGTGTTATACCGATTGCCTATATTTCTTTTTCTGATAGGCACCTTCGATGATATTCGATGAGAATAAGCAATATTAAAAATCCGAGAAAAAAGTCTGGAAAAATAAAATACAGCATGCAATGGCAATCGGATGTGAATCCACAAAAATAGCAGCACACTGAAAAAAAGAAGAGCCGCGTCAACTCCGTGCGCACTCTTTCCGCTGAGTAGTCGTTTTATTTATCCTCTCCTGCGAAGTGCGTGAGAATCGCCAAGTGCGCGCATATATCCAGAAGCGCCATGCCAACTTGAGAGCAATTAATAATGAAAGTGACTCGTGCGTGAAATAAGCAATAGCCGAGTTGTGCACAGTGCAGCTGGGTCGATGAACTTGCGCTCGAGCCATGCGTGATTATTTTTCTTTTTTATTTACGCTCACTTCGCTTCGGTTACGAGCTTTCTCCAAGGCAAGAGACGAGCGACGAGTTTTTGCTAAATTTGATTTGGCACAGAGCTCATTTGACGATTTCGTAGCTGCTTGATTGTTTGAGAAAAAGGAGTTCAATAAGGCGCACGCATGCGGCGCGTCCGCACATTTGAGATTGAGCCGCACGCCAATTAAAGTGCTTTAGAACGAGTTGGCATTACCTTGTTTGCTAGCAATCGCTCCACTTCCGATAGCGTCTTCGGCGTCGCTTCACCCGGATTCGGCTTTTCCAGCTGAAAAATCATCGTTCGTACTTTTTATTTCATAAGCTCAGTTATAATACTTAGAGAATGCGTGCTTCGATTATTAACCACATAATACATTACAAGAGACATATTTTCTTACCAAGGCATTGAGAAATGCAAGGTCTTCGAACTTCGTACCGAATAAATTTGGGTTCATGGTAATCGATGGAACCGTAGTCGACGAAAATGTGGGACGTGATGTTGTCGGGACTTGTGTTGTCAACGTCGTAGTTGCCGAAGTTTGTGTTATTGGAGCCAACGTTGCTGATATTGTAGTAGTTGTAGTAGTTGACTTTGTCGGAGTATTTATTAACGAACTTATGGTGCTTGAGATCGGGTTGAAGACTTCTACTAAATTATCTATAGTCTGTCCTTCGACTGGCGCTGTCGGTTTCTTGGCTTCATTCTGTATTTAAGAAAAGTTCTTTAGTAAAAGGAAATCAGTATGACAAGACGAATAAAAAGAAACGAAAATTGAGGGATTCGAAACGTAGTATTAGAATTATTCGTGCAACGTACAATCGTATTTACTGTCTGAGCTACCTTTAAAGCCGGCGAATCAGAAGATATGCCGAAAATTTGATCCAAAGGATCTTTCCATGGGAAACCGGGTGGTGCTGTGACTCGATTGGCACTTTCACTATTAGGTATAATATCTAAATTCATGACTTCTGGAGGTGCAGATAATGAACCCTCTTTTGAGGCAGTCTGTGTGAAATTTAAATGGGGACAAAAATGTCATTTCAACATTATTCCATTAAGCGAATTCTGTCAAAAGCTCTAAATCAAATTTTCATGTGTTTTTCATCATTCGATTGTACTGACTTTAAGATGATATAGAAATAGTCAATTACGTTTAAGCTAATATAATAATCAAATAACTCTAATACTTAAATGGATAAATTAACGAAAACTACGTGAATAGATCTTGAAAATACTCTAATTTGCAAACGGAACTTTTAGCAAACTCGACAATTATATTGTGCATGAAATTTGATACTAAAATCTACTAGTAAAAATGGTTACTTACGGCAGTGGAAGTCAAATTAACACTAAGAACTGTAGGATTGGAGTTAGGTTGTCCATTGGTCCAGTAATTCACAAACTTCTCCTGAAAATAAACCCGATAATATAGTCATTCAATGTACAAAAGCTTTTAAATATAATATATATATATATATATGCTCTGAAAACTCCTGTATGAATTACCTGTCCAACGAACACAGAATTGCGTTGACCATTACTTTCACTTATTTTACTAACTTCATCCTTTATCTTATCCTGAATGATTCGACCACCCTGTCCATTATTATCCAGCGTCACGTCACTTGCGACTGTAGCCGTCTAGATAATCAGCAATAGAATTTTTAATAGAAATTTTAGTTATTCAATACATTTAACATAAATAATATTCTGTACATATTACATTCAATTTTGAGCAACCATATAATTGTACAACTATTTACACGTGCAATCTAAATATCGAAAAATGACTATTACGCTTTTAAATAGCAATGTTTTACTATAATTGCTCGATTTTAAGCACCGATTACAAAATAATCAATCTAACTTGTTTCTAAATATACGTTGCAAGTATCTACATTGATGATAATTTCTATTTGATTTCAAAAATCTAATATAGTTTTGCAATTTTGATATACAGTGCTTTGCCTGAAATACCAACATTTATGTGCTATTGTGCATGACAAAAAGTACTAGTTTGCATTGTATTTACAAAAAAATAATGTGTCATATTTCGACATCAAGGTGCTGAATTTAAGTTAACTAAATTGCAATAATATATATGTACATTATTTTCAAAAATATTTAAATAATTAAAATAATCAGATCAAACTCATTCAAAAACTATTTACAAAAAAATTTGTACATAAATACTGTTATTGGCAAATTTTAAAACTTCTATTTAATTTTATAGTGTTAAAAATTATGGAACATGGCCATTCAGTTACATAATATATTCATAACTAGTTAATAGTTCAAAGTAAAAATGAAACAACTTACATTAAGTATTGAATATCATAATTTGTCATCAAAGTAAGACATTATTTAACATAGGCAAGGATATGTTGTTGAACTGGAGTGTTTTGAAGTAAAAAAATAAAAAAATTAGGAACCAAAAAAAAGTTAAGTCATCGGCAATCACAAATACAGCCTGATTTTCATGTCGTACTTCGTGCCTCTTAATCTAGGGTGAAAGTAAGCATGTAATACCATTTTTTTAGTGCCGCTACCGACACTAATGAGTGGGAGGTTAAAACCAGTGGGTCCACTGATACTGAGCACATTATCAACTTCATTGGGTTCGTAGAAAGCATTCCGGGTATTGCCATCGTCAACGGGGCTATGGTTATTAAAGTAGCCGAAGTTCTTGTTACGCGATTCCTGGTTAATAAACTGGTTATCGGGTAAACTGGGCCTGTTAGTCGTAGTACTAAGGGAAAACACAACTTCCACCGGATTGCTTGGGGGATCCGGTATTACCGTGCCATTGGGGAACTTGCGCACGAGTTTCCCATCCGGGAAGATTCCAAAGATCACATAGGGACTATCCACATTTCTGGCATCGATCAAATTGTCTTCTGGTCGCTTTCTAACAATGGTCTTATTGGGCAATATTCCATAAATCAAATAATCTCTGACTGGGGTAATTGTAGAGGAACTGGAACTCGAATTAATCACCGGTTGCTCGTTAAAACCAGATTGTCCAACAAAGGAGACCGACGTCGTAGGCTGCTGTTTACTTATCGAATAATCTGCTGGTGAACTCATCGTTGAAGGTGCATGTGATGAAGATGGTAAATAGGTTGGGAGAATTGTAGATGTTGTTGTCGTTGTAGGGATGGGTGATTGTTGATTATTAGAGAATAGATCGTTACTGTTTTCGCTTGTTGAGGAGGATACGGATGATGATAGGGGAGTTGTCGTGAGGGATGACGTAGTAAATGGTTGATGGGAGCGATTGGTTGTACCTGCCGTCCTTTGGGCGGTTGATGGCGTAGAACCCTGCAAAGGGGTAAGCATAGTTGGAGAAATAGTGATAAGATCAAGGTTCGTTTCGCTTTCAGAAGAGGTGGTTGTGGACGATAGACTAGAAAAAAGATTAGAGTCGTTTTCTAAGACAGTTTTAGTAACATCTTCGACTACTGATGGTATATCAGTCGGATTGGGGGTTAGTAAATCTAGCTCCTGGATTTTAGATTCTGCTAACAGGTCAGTAATTGGTTTAGCATTCATAAGCTTAGATAAGATTTGTAACATGCGGGCAAAATGCTGTGCGCGAAAATTTGTATCAATTGAATTATTTGTTATGTTATCAGAAGATAGAGCGGTGGTAGTAGTTGTTAGGGAAGAGAAAGTTTTTGTTTCAGAGTTCATACTAGTTCGTGTATTAGGACTTCGAATGTACATGTCTGCATTTATGTTTGCGTTTGTCGTGTTTGTGGTTGGTTCTGTAATAATCGTTGTTGTTGGCATAGTTGTCGTTTGAGTAACTACTGTAGTTTCGTTATTGGTTTCTACTGTGCTTTCATTAGTCACAGATTGACTTTGATTATCTACGAAGCTCCCCACAAGCTGAGAAAGCTCTTCAGGCGAGCTGTCCACATTGTTTTCGTTGAATGAAGATTCATTCATGTCGGTAGATTTTTGAGAAAATCTTTCGGCAATCTTCAATAACTCTTCCGTAATATTTTTATTATTGAGATTATTATCAGATGAGTTATTTTCCGTCAAATTAATAGCTAAGTACATAAGTTTTTCTAAGGCTAATAACTTTTCTTTGTTGTTAAGTATATCTTTTAAAAGAGGACTCTCGATACCTGCAGGAACAGTCGCGTTCTCAGCATCGTAGAATTTTATTTCTATGTTCGTAGTTTTTGACATATTGTTAGAATTTGTGACTGTATTATATTCTAAATTTCTAATTTCTGGTGGTAAAGTCATTGTAACATTCTGATTTTTATCTACACTCACAGAGCTACTAGTTATCATTGGTAACTGTGTATTCAATATACTTTCATTCGTATCTGGTGAGCAATTTGAACATCTTTCAGATGTCATTTGAGTATCCGTCGAGGTACTTGTCATTGATTGTGACGGGGAAGTCATTTCAAAAGAAGAATTTTCGATTTTTGTAGAAGTTAATACAGTCATCGATTGTATCATTTCAGTCGTACTTTCTGTAGTAAAATTTGATTGTTCAAAAATTTTCGAAGTCTCTGTAACTTGAGCTAAACTTTTTAATTTAGCAGTTTTCTCAGTTTCTTGACCTATTCGTATCTCCATTATAGTAGGTTTTGTTGTTTCATTATTACTTGTCGATAAAGTAATATCTAACAAAGAATTACTTACTTCGACTGGTCCATAATTTGAATCGTCCAAACTTTTAGGCGTTTTCAAGTTTACCGCTGGAGTAATTTGGGTTACTGCCAGCGTTTCAGTCGAATTAATAGTTGTAGTTTCAGGAGAACTTGACATCGTTGACATGGATGGCATATATGTAGAATTTTTCTGTACAAAACTAGCTTCAGTAACAATTGCTGGGGCTGATGATTCAGACTTATTCGTGTCTACTGATGCACTATCAACAAATGGCGAAGGACTAGTCGTAGCAATTACTTGGTTTTGATTTACATTTTCACTAATATGAACTGACACTTCCGTCATCAGTTCAGTGCTTGTTGACGTAGTACTCGCAGTTGTAGGATCAATATTTTCTAATTTACTAACTATTAAAATGGATTGACTTGTAGTGGGTACACTAGTAGTAGTTTCTTTCAGTTGATCGTCACTAGTTGCTTCTGTTAGATTATCATCGAGATTTTGTGTCGTTTTGAGAGTAGTGGTATTCATGGTGGTATCTAAGGAATTGATCGTGTCAGGCACATTATGAGTCGAGGCGTTATTAATGTATACAGGGCTGATGTCATTAAAGGTATTTGTTATTGGTATTATTGATCGAGAGTCATTGTTAGAACTGTTCGTGTCGTAATGGTCATTGGCAGTATTATTCTTTATTAGGGCACCACTAGGGAGTTGCCATAATTGACGTACGTCTGTCTGTTCATTGTTTACGCTAGCAGTTTCCACTGCTTGATAAAACGTTAAAATTTTTGGCTCCCCAGGGCTTGAGATATTGATCGGCCGCACTTCATCCTCATTCTGTAATCAAAATATTTTTGGTGCGATACGTGCTGTACAATTTGTACAGTGCTAAGTGATAGACTAATGTTTTATTATATTTACAGTTATTTGTTCTGATATTAAATTATGCTTTTATTTTGGTGTATTTACAAGAAACATTGTCGAGATAAATAATTTTTAGATCTAAAATTCAGGAAATCACTTATGAAATATATTCCAATTATTGAACTCTAATTGATTAATTGATAAATTAGAATATTTTACTAAAAAATATATTTATAATTAATGCTAAAGAATGTCGTGTTGCAGAAAAAGGAACTTTAATCGAATGATATTTACATTGAATTATGGCAAAACTGCAACATTATAATGAACATTACAATATAGATATTTTCATGCTCTACAGGATGATAATATAATTAGACTATTATGCAATAATTTACAAAATGAAATTGTATACAATTTATTATTTATATTTTCAACTGAGCTGCAACACCAGAACTATTATATATTTCCCTTGTTTGGATTAATTAAATTATACGTGAATATTTTACCTCTGTGAGTGAGTTTAGAGTTGTTGGAGGCGTTGGCCTTCTGACAAAAAGCTCTGCTCCCCTGTATCTAGCACTAAACCGTGGAGGAGCACCGCTTGGAGTGGCTCTTGGCAATGAATTCTAAAAAAAAATAAAATGTTGGAATAGGTTCACTCAATAAACTTAATAAAACATTTAATTATAACTAAATTGGTTAAACCATCTAAAATTTAATTATTGAAATTATTTACATGTTTTCTTATATTTCATATATAAATTAGACTAAAATAACTTACGGCACTATTTGTATTTTTGTAAACTCCTGCGAACACAGGTGATTTATTTCCAAGTGTATTCAAAAGCGGCGCTACAGTACTCCTGAGATGCTCCAAAAGAGTGGCATTTCCAGACTCCAGTATTGCTGCGCTTTCGACAGGATTGAAAATGTTGGAACCAGCGACGTTACCACTGTTACCATTATTTGAATCGTGAATTGAAATCTCCGCGGTTTCGTTACCACTGGACACTTTCACACTGATAACGGGTTCCTGTGTTACCGACTGCTGTCCCAGCTCAGTTTCATTGGGTTTGATCGTAGCTTGGTATCGCTGTACCTTCGGAGTGATCGCAATGCTCAGAGGCTTCTCGGTTGCCGACGGATATACCACGAAGACCGGTGAACCCGAATCGTTGCTCAGTGCTGCTGCACGGGGCTTGTATTCCACCAAGTTAGGTGGCGAATCCGTGCTTGCAATTTTCCAATCGAGCTCTGGACTTCCGGTACTCTTGAACGATAATTCGGTCGTACTGAAAGTACCGGCATTGTCGATCTCGTTGGCGATGTCGTCGGTAGATGGGCGATTACTCGAAGTCAAAACACTTTCATAATTAAAAGTGGTCACCTCGTTTTCAGCAGAAATTTGCGTGGTGATTTCTGTAGTCACGGGCAAATTCGTTGTAGTTGGCACGAAAGTTGTCGACGTTGATTCTGTAGTTGAAGTAACTTCGTCCTCGAGCATCTTCATTGTCGAGGAAGTAGCAGCTTCGCTATCGTCCATTTTCACTAGACGAGTTGAAAATGAAAAAGATTTGACAGTTCTCATTGTCGTTAGTAAGGTCGTTGAACCTTCCAACGAATCACTTCTCCTAACTGGTCTCGGTGTTTGGCTTTTTTCCATGTTCTCTAATGTTTTCCGTAATTTCAGAGCCACAGCTTTAATATCGTCCACGTGACTCTTATCACTCTTTCTAGGAGTGAAGGTTTTCCGAGACTTTTCAGCTAGCGGTGACTTTGTGGTGGAATTTATAATGTCTTCGTGTATACTATTCTCATGTGAAGGTTTGGGACCACGAACTTTACTTCCCCTTACTTTTGGCACAAATTTGATTATATGCTCTTTGTATCGATCGGCTCTAGCCGATTGTGTCGTGGAATCGATGACATTGTCTTCGACGAAATTTCTTTCTGTAGTGGTAGCTGCTAATAACGAAGTTTTCGGTCGAGGAGTATATAGCTGCTTGTATCTCGAGGCTCTAGTTTGAGTGTCCTTGAAATTCTTCCTCAATTTGGACGGTTTCCAATCAGACTTAGTCGAGCTCTTTTGACCTGATTCGGGCTTCGATGTCGCAGGGCTTGATTTCCTTGTGACTTTGAACACTTTCTGATCCTCATCCACTGCTGAGTCTCTAGGCTTCTGATCCGTATCCTCCTTGAAATTTGGTGATGGATCAACGATTACTTGACGAGCGTTTGTTTCATCAATCAGTAGCTCAGGCTTGATGAGTTTACGCGCATTTTCCAGTTTCATTTTTGATCGGGCTGCGAATTGCTCAGTGGACATCGTCTTGTTGGCCTGAAAATGTTTTTGTTCAGCAGCTTTCTCTTTTTTTTTTTGCTTTTAGATTTCTTAAGCATCCAGTACCATCCCAATGTGTTTGCTTTTTTCCACACCTTGCACATTGAATTTTTAGATTGCCCAAGACTTCCCGAAGCATGGTAGAAGAAGTAGAAGAAGAGAATGAAGAGGTGTTTTTTGTTAGTGCTTTTCATTTGACATACATTATTTATGATGGAATTCATTCGTGATTGCAAATTTACAAATATTGTATTTATTATAGAAATCATATCTATGCTTTATTATATTACAATCTTATCTCAATAGCGGAGCAAGAGGAAAAATCGTTTATATTTACACTTCACAATTGTAAAAAAAGTTTTTTTACGTATCGTATCTCAAATCACTAGGAGCGAAGAGTGAACCGACGAAGAGCCAAAAACTAGTGACCAATGAGACGAGACGTTGCCTAACGAGTCCGAGCCACGTATTCACTGCGTCAGTCTTCAGTAACTGAAAGTTTAATTAGCCAATATGTGAGGGAGCTGAATACGCTCTGCAGATTCTATTTTATTAGAGAGTTTTTGTATTCAAACCCTACCCCAAACATAACTTCTAAAGGAATTTCGATCGATTCAGATCTACTATTTCAGACTCGACTGTTAATGTATGGAATCGATGATTTTAGTTTTGCTTTTGTTATCTTGAATTCAAATAAAAATAAGTTAAACTGTGCGTGTTCTCAAAATTTTTTATTAGTTAACGTATCAATTTGTAAATCTTAAGGAATTTTTATATTAATGATTAGTCCCTAACCTTTAAATTACGTGTGTCCAAATTCAAATGGATAAGTAACATAAACGTAGTATAGCAAGTGTAAAAAGCATTATGAATTTGTTGCAAAACAATTGTAAGTACGTGTGAATTCAATGTAATCAGTTAAAGAAAAACTTATTCTTAGACTTTCGTTTGCGTTATCAAACTACCATTGTGCACATTCTTTTAATAACGGGTGTCTGTTATAAATAAACGTAGTGAGAGTGTAATGAAGTATTGTTACTACTCTTATCATTATCAGCTTTTGCAAATATATACAATGCACAGTCGAAAATCGTAAAAAATGCTGATGACTGGTAACTTTTTTTACTGAATTTGGACACTAGCTACCAACATTTTTAGGGCTGGATTGTTCACGATATTTTTATCAATTCTAGAAATGTTTGTTATGATTTCGTTTCTTTTTCCATGCATTATTGTTTTGGAATTTAAAGCAGTTGTATATGAATGAAATAATAATAAAGTTAAGCATCAGTGGTATTTTAATTTACGTATTACTTTCTCGATCTGGTCGAAAATCTGTTCCACCTATGCGAGCGTGTAAACGCATGTGCTCCATAATAATTTCTAGGCGCATTGGCTCGGTCACTGATACGATACATAAATACGAGTGTGCACCACGCCTGTACTAGTCGGTCAAGCGCTGCACAGCATTTACTTTCTCCCAGCACCCGCAAGGAACCCGAAATCGGGAGCGGTGAACGGCTAAACCGGTTCGCGAATCGGGGATATGCTCTGCACGCGCTGCTCGCTCGTTGATTCAATTTTTACACTTTTACGCGCTGAAACCTAGTTTTCCTTCAAATCCAACTATTTCTCCGCAGTAGCTGTTACGTTGTTTAATGAGTTGTCCGCGATTATATGCATATGCTTTGAATGAATTTACAAGTCATTTTATATCACTATCCAGATATAGAAAACCTATTACATCTGTCGGTTGTACCGATGAGATTGTCTAATTCAATTTAAAGAAGCATCATTATAGTTTGACAGTTGAATTGGATACGTTTTCAATTCGATTTCATGGTTATATCTAAGATCTGATGTTGTTATATCTCAATTACTTAAAAATTATTTTTACGGATAACCCGCATTGTATAATTAAATAATAACATTCCATGCTTTTAGAGTGAAACACATAAAAAAAGATAAGAAGTTAAAGTATTTAGCAGTTTTGTGATTATGCAGTACGTCATCATCTGTGCCTCAAACAATTTTGATGACGATTAGAAGTTTTTATAGTTTAATTCGCAACATGAATGAAAGCAGATTTCAGGTAAGCGATGCAAGATCTACATAGCACATATATTCGATCGTGTGCAAAACAAGATGATTTGGCATAACTTGTAATTGTTGGGTGTTATATAGATTCACGAAGTTGTATTATACATTATCACGGTACAAAAACACACGTGTACATCGAAGTATGAATTATATACACTTGATTGATGAAAATGCAGCAGCATGTTTTCTTGAAAATATAAGCACAGACGTAAAATTCAGTTTACAAATATGTTAATGAGGAAAACAAGCTAATGACATTGTAAATTTATGAAATATAATATGAATAATTGAACACAAAATGATTTGCATTGCTTTTTTTGTAATTTTAACATATCTTACTTGCTGCACATCCAAAGAATTTGGAATTTCAATAGTAGAATTATGAAAAAACGGAGACTGTGTCATTGCGTAGTCAATGTTATCCGAAGAGGCAAGATCAAGATCGACATTGCCAATTAAATTTGAGCTGGTATACAATTGACGATCCTACGTAAATGATTAAGTTATTATAATAAAAGAAATCCATATTTTTTAATAAAACAATATCGTGCGTGCGTAATATTTCAGAGGAAACGTCGTATCGTATAAATATCGTAAGTTTCAATAGTAATATGGTTATGATATACTTCCGTACATCAATAAAGAAGTATGCCATTGCGTAGGTACACAAAAAGATCCAAAGTGGACATGCTAGCTTGAGAGAAGCAGCTATTCAAAGCAGTCAACGTTAAGTTTTTGCTAATATTATATCAAACCAGTAAGAAAACAGTTAAAGAGGAAAGTCAACCACTGTCTGCCCATGTTATGTCAATTACTTGATTGGAAGAATGAAAAGTGGATTAAACGTGGAATTTTTAGGATCTTGCTATCTTACCTCTTGTGTTCTTGATTGCCCGCTCGTTTTTTGCTGAAATAATATTAGTTTGGTATAGACGTTAGACACATTTTTAATATACCCAATAAGTTATTCTATTACTGTTAATGTTATCGCAGAGATTACCATGAATACGATTCAATATCGATTATATTCATGAAAGAGATGATACAATATAAAATCTGCAAAACTCACCAACTGTGCCAGCCGTGCCTTGAAATCCGGTGGATAGTTATCGTTTTCATTTATTTCCTCTTTTGTACCTCCACTAACTGCCTTTATGTTCATTTTATTCCCTCTTCTTCCACTTTTCGGAATGGTACTTGCGGTTGTCATTCTATTATTTTGTTGGCCGGGAATTAGCGACAACGCTGGATTTGACACTGGCCCGGATAATGGACCATCGTGTACATGTCCAGGACGTCGTCTCAAAGTCCAACCAGGATTACCACGTGGTGAATTTTCAGGCATCCTCACTGAAGTCACTGTTGAAGGTGCAATTGTCGTAGTTGTTGATGGAACTGTAACTGGAACTAAATTGTTTCTATATTATAGTTATATTTTATGTGTGTGTATGTGTTTATGTGCATACAACATTAAGAAGATTCAATATTTCGATATACGAATTAATTACCTATAATCACACTACTGGAAAAAATTTAGGAAAAAATTTTTAAATTTGATTTCGTAAGGAAATGAGACCCCGCGATTTGTCACTTCCGCAGTATTTAATGACTCCAAACTCATACTAGTTTTTATAACTGCCCCTTTAATTGCTGTATGATTATTGGTTGCTGAGATATTGGCGATTGAAGAAAAAATAACCATTTTTCATTCAAAATTCGATATCTCAGTGACAAATGGACATAAAGAAATAAAGAAAAAATTAAATTGCAGCTGAATAAATAAGCTAACTGAAATTTAAGTTTGTTTGGACGAAAAAATTTTTCCAAAGTCCGTAGACACCAAATAAAAAATAATTTTTTTCTCGCTTTTCTTCTTACAATACAATTGTGCAATAACCGTGGCAGATCAAAATTTTTGACTCAAAAATCCTGAAATCAGAAACTTCAAGCTTTAAAATGCTCTTTTTTCATCATTTTTCACGACAACACAGCCCTTCATACTGCCGAAAAATTTAGAAATTTGTTGTTTTTTTAATTTTTTCCAATAGTGTACTGCAATATTGAACAAAATAACTTATGACAAATATTAATAGGATTTTATCGTCAATAGAGTTGTAAAAGTATAATAAAATTATTGTAACAACATAATAATAATTTAATATGAATAAATAAGTTGAGAATACGTACATGATAAAAGTCTAACAAACCTTGATCGACTCCAGGTATTGATGGTCTTCTTCCTCGAAAGCCCAAGCCATGATTAAAGAAATCTTCTTTCGAAGCCCTTCTTCTTTGATCATTTTGTTGAGTACTGCCATTCTCATTTTTTTCATTATCATTACTTGATGGCCGAGCTGAAGTTGATAAAAAAGCTCTAGAAGTAGTTGGTGGTGATAACGTCGTAATAACTTCCGGTGTCGAAGTTGGCGTAATATTTCCAATATTTCCTATTGCCACAACAGACGGACCTCGTGGTGCTATTGTAGTGGATGGATGCGGCGGAGAATCGGTAGTAATTATTTCAACTCGGTAGCGACCTCTAGATCTGTTAGATTTTCTATCAATATTGTGAGATTTTGCTTCGGATATTCTATTATTATCAAAATTCCTGGATGTATCAAAAGATCTGGCTGTTGCTCTCGTATTGGAATTTCTTCTTCTAAAATCAGGTTGAACGGTTGTAGAGCTACTGTCCGCAACGTTATTTTTTCTGATTTCTTGTCCTCTATTTCTTCCACGACCTTCTGTTGTGCTTTCATATCCTTTGCTGTTTCCCGTTCTTCTCGATGTTCCCCTTGATACTGGATTTGAGGTAGTTGTATCAGATTCTTGTTTTTTTTCATTCAGAGGCTGCCTTCCTCGTGGTTTGTAGCGCGAGTTGACTGGCCTTTTGGATATTTCAGTTGTTGGACTACTGTTGGACGAACCTCCACTAGAAAGCCTTTTCGGTTCTTCGAAATTCAGAGGGAGATTGAAACGTACGCTTTCAGAGCCTGATGCCGCAATATCTTGTTTTAGACGAGATTCAGTCAGCCTTTTACGAAAATCCGAAGAATTATAAGCGAAACTCCTTCGATTACTTCCTGCGCCTAAATTAGGATTAGAATCATCAATTCTTTGATTTCTCGCATAACGAGGATTCGACAATGTGCCACTATTTGATTGTTTTACAGAAGAATTTAGAATTTTTCTGCCAGTTCTGGATCTTGAATTATCTATTGTCCCGGTGAAAACTGATGGTTCTGAAGTGTCAAATTTAGAATTTGATTTATCATTTTGTAATCGTGGAGTTCTTCGATTTCCTCCTCGTCCCGTTACTTTGACTTTTGAAGTTTCTGCACTATCTACAAAGTCTCTTGCTCTTCCAGTTCTAGTATTTTCTCTTACACTCGAAGGTGAAAACTTTTTCTCACTAATATCTTGACTATTATTTTTACTATTCTCATGTACATTATTGTCCGGCTCAGCATTCGGAACTTTCATCACTAATGTACGTGAAGCAAACCTTGGCAAGCCATGATGATTAATTTTCGGTTTTGATTGGAAGGTAGGTTCACTTCCCGAATTTTCTAAAGTTTGCTCGACGGCCGTCTTCACAGTAGAAGTTATTTGAACACCAGACCGACTCGACGAAGTTCTGCGAGCTCCTGGTGCTCTTCGACTAGTTTTAGTACTTGTTGCATCAGAGCTCGATGAGCTCGTCTCTGGCGGAGCTGCTTCTGTTGAAGTAGCACTTTTCGAACTGAAACGAGACGAGCCACGAGCCCGCGCTGGTGTTATTTTTTTATCATCTGTCTGTAATACAAAAATTAAACCTATATTGAGCAAATAATTCACTATTATCATAATAAAATATTATATTTAAAACGATGAGTTTAAAAAAATAGAAAATTTTCCACATATGACATTTATACTACTGGTGCCGAATTTCGATTTTATTGGGTGAAAAAATATTGTGTATCATGGAAAAATTAAATTCGAATTAAGCAGTAATAATTTCATAGAAAACATATCTTATAAATATTTTATGTTATACGTTGATATGGTTTTAAAGTGTTACTTAAAAAGGAACCTTAATCTTTTATTTTTAATGCATCATCCAACTTGACGTGAAAAACATCCCACTGAAAAAAAGTAACAACGATCTCAATAACAAGATAAAATTATAAAAATAAGAAAATATTTCATATTATAATTAAGCCTACGAACTTTCATGAAAAAATGTATAAATTGTAAATTCCTAGGCTCGCATAATCGGTTATTTAACCAATAATTAAGTAAAAATAAAACAGCATCGGCTAGTAAATATTGATACAGTTAGGTTTTTGAAGCTATTATCTTGTAAGTGACCTCGTCTGGCAATATTGCGAAAAATAAAGGAAAGTACAGCATATGGTTCGCGCATTATATAGGCGATGCAAGAATTCACGCGCACAAATTCTTCTGCAGCGTGCCTTTCGCGCGCGCTGCAGCAATTGTATACGTATACATAAGATCGCGGGGCGGCCCCAAACAGCCAGTTGAATTTCGAAAGGAGAGCAATGTGACGCCCCGGGAAAGAAAGAAAAAATGCACTGGCCCTTCTCTTTCGACGTCCTTCGGGGTTGTAGATTCTCTGATGCAGCAGCTTAATCGCAAGCTGTTTTTAGAGGCCCACGCGACATTGCAAGGCCGTTGCAGCCGAGCGCATACTTTTCCCGCCCTCGATTCGAAAATTTTAAGTTTATTTCGTACGCGGATCTTGGGCTGGCGGACAACTGGTTCGGTACTTGTTCCTCTCACTTTTATTTTCTGATTAACTTGATTGAATGTTTGAAGAGGGGAGAGGAATAAGAAATTGAGAATTTCAGTGCTAAGTTTTTTGTAACGATGGGCTTTTAACATTGACCTTCAACTTAATTCACATCTACTGAAAATATAATTGGCTAATATTTTACAATTAGTGAGGTGTCTCACTGCCTATACTATCAATTACCGCAATGTTCTAAGTTGTGGTTAGCTAATAATTGATAATAATTATGAGTTCTTGACAAAAGATTCCGTAAGTTATACATCATAAGATTAACCGTCAGTCGTAAATCTCAAAGGGCTCGTTCTTTGTTTTACTCGATACGCCATATAAAATTGAAAGATTCCTTCCGTCCTTTATCTCACAGGATATACCGCTACCTTAATATCCAGTTGGATCTGGTTGAATCCGTTCCCAGTTAGTTTCGAAACCACCCTGTAAGAAAAGGCAAGGCGCATTTTTTGGTAGAATTAGAGCACAAAGCTGCTGTATATTTTTGCTTGAGTAATGTGGGAAAGTACGAGTCAGGATGGTGAAAGATTTTATTCAAGATGAAAACAAGTTTTTTTCAAAGAAAGAACACTGTAGAAAATAAAATTTTACAAAATACATACATATGTAACAAATGTATGCAAACCTAAATACATTTTATGTTACGTTATAGAACTTTTTAGCTAGAATTCAAGAACATTTCTTATTTTCTCAGGACTTTTTTCATTTTGTCTCTGAAGTATCCATGGATAAGTACTATTTACATTGGAAATGAATGAATATATTAGCAGTATATTCATTAGATTCAATGTCTATTGTTCTTTCATGTTTGTATAGTTAAACAAATTTTTTGTACAATATGCTTTGTTCGTGTACCTCGAATCTCTTCCTATCACCGAATCAAATCAGAAATACGCAAAAATTATTCAATCAGCGTTGCACGTACACAATATTTACTTGTGCCGCAGAAATAGAAAGTGACACTAGCAAGTCAATCTAATATGTTACGTCATTAAGCTCTTTAGATCTTTTTAATTGCCGCGAATCGCTCAAGTTTTTGAAGGTTATTATGTTGTCATTAGTGCTTCAAGCTAATAAAAATTAAGAGTAAATTCGAAGAAAGTTACTTTTTAAGCTGCTGTCCTTTTCTGATTATTGTGAAACTTTTGCCATTTATAAGACCTTATTAAGAATACGAAAAAAATTGGCAGTCTTTGGAATAATGCGAAAATATATGGAACGATCTTATTACATATTTTCATCTCATTCGACTTGTTCAAGTCTCGGTATATTTAGTTCATAAGCGTATGCAGAAAAATTACTTAAAAATCACGATAAGCATAAATCTAATGGATTAATGGAAGAGTCAATTAAACTTATTCGCATCTGATTATAACGAAATGTATTCAATTACTATGATATCGAATAAATTTGTTCATATAATTATATAATATATAAATGAGGATCTTTGTTTTCATTGTTATCGCTATTATCCTATGTCTCTTATGTCTTTTTGGAGTTCGAACGATCAGCCAAAAATCTTTGATAATGAGATCTTTATTTCATTTAGAAATAAAGATGATCAAGCATCTGTAGTACATGCATACACGGTCAGAATCGCGGCCTTCGCGAGCCTGCGCGAACCGGCCAATCGCATCTGTGACGCGAAAGCTACGGTTGGCACGAAAGTGAAACTGGTCCTTTATCGACGAACGCGCCTTGGTTCACGTAATGTGTCACTGGCGTCTGCCGCGCCCTCGAATGCGCGCGTGCACACACACACACACCAAACTTATACAAGAACGCTTGCGCAGTTATGGCACCGAACCTCATGCCTTATTGTCTAGTCTGTAATGCGAAATCGTTTGAGCTTCTTTTTCTCTGATAGTTTCTTGTCTTTACCCGATATGGCACTCTACGTCTAAAAATGGAAGAATTTCACGACTAAAATGCTGACTTGTATATATAGCAATGCTGTGTTCCGCATAGTAGATGCACAAAAGATTTGAAGATTATTTCAATTTTAAAAATAGTTAACTAGATACTTTTAAGCTGTAACATGCTGGCAACTATTTCTGTAATGGGGTTCATTAAAACAAATAGAAATTTGCAAGGCGGCTTTGTTTTCAAGTTTTTATACACATTTTTGTTGATATTGCACGTTGTTGCGATCGTTAGTTTACCGGCCAAGATGATTTGAAGAAAAATATTGAGTAACTCACTTCTTTATGGATACTTTGCTTGGAATATGACATAAGAATAACAAAAACCGTTCTTAAATTGAGTATCTTACGGTGATGTTACGGTTTCCTATTAAAATCGGTTTCTTTGTGTATTTACAAAATAACAACAACCGCGTTTTTACAAAAGACTTGGCAAAAATATAAAAAGAATTAGAGTAACAGTGGTCCAATCAGAAGTGATTAAAAAAGATGACATGCCATTTTCAGAAGCAATGGCTGAACCAAATAGTTTTAATAGCAAGTTAAATATTTTCCTTACTGATTTTTTCGTACATCACTAACGCGATTAGTACGTACGTGTCGTATACGTAAAACATTCACGACAATCTAATGGGATTACAAGAAATATTCCTTATTTACCCTGATATGAAATTATTACTTACAATTATTTTATTAATGAAACACAAAATTACATTGTCAAAACTATTCTTTTTATAAAAGTCTAATCAAGTATGTCATGTATGTAAGGTCCGATGGGTTAACATCCGAGTAAAATGATAAACGGCAACGCAGAACGTCTCATGGCGTCTACCTTCCGTCCCTGAAACTTTCTCCGAACGGCAATTTGTCGTTCGAAGCCGGCCAATTACGCGATTGCGAGTATGATCGGCGTCGCCCGCGTGAGCTTTTGAAAAGTCTAGGCTCGCGCCCGAGTTGCGAAACTGCCGCACGGAAGCTCGAATCGCTAGCCACCTATAGCCATAAATTCTCTCTCCCTCGATCTCTTAACAAGGAGCGATCGCGATTGTGCAATGTAGGCCCCCGACGCCACCACTGCTACCGCACTTCAAATGCGTAATGGAACTTTCGCTGAGCAAAAAGAAATCCAAGCTCGCGTCTGGCACGACAGCGGCTGAGGTCGCGGCGATGAATTATCGAAGGGATTCCTGGCGCTCTGCTGCATCACCCTTCTTCGATGTTTGTTGTTGCCGAGATTTGCTGCGAGCACGTGAGAAATCGATGAATTATTGATACCCACTGGGATAAGAGCATCGATTGTGTTTCAGATGCATTTGGCTCAATGTGAGGTAAGCAATTATGATGTCTCGCTGCGTGGCTTTTTCATCGAGTCGTATTATACACGGTTTAGGAGTCATACCAGCTCGTTCCAAATGATGTTGATGATTTTCACTTTATTTTCATGGATATACTTAGCAGCCTTATTCAGTTTCGTAGAGTAATAAAATTATTTGACCGCAAATTTAATACAGGAATCATTGCGTCAGTATTATAATTTCTGAGCTCTAATAAGTAATCGAAGTTTTCAATAATTTTTTGCCATTGCTGATTTTATTTATAAATTGCAAATGATGTTGTGAAATTGAGAGTACACGTAGAATACTGGTATTATGCAAATACTTGTACATTTTTCTGTTTAAGCTCGATGGGACAAGTGAATTTATAAAATTATTTTACGACGACTCCGTCAAATCTTATCACTTTGAACAAACTAAATCATTTACGTTCGTATTTTTCGTACTTTCATTATACGTTATTTAACATAAATATTCAAATCAACTATCTCGCGCGTGTAGTATCTTGCATTTCTTTGTACCCTACAACAACAATTATGGACTTAGTTAATGAGATTCCCAATCGTGTATTATATTTAACAAGTGTCCATTTTGCGTAGTCTGACGTAAACTCAGAAGTACAGTATTAACGCTAGCCACGGGAAAATCAATGCTATTGATGTCCGGCGTCACGCTTTTTTGACTTTAACACAGGTTTAACGAGCCAGGAAGAAAAACTCAGAGTAATCTGTTTTTTCG